CAGGCTGACTGTTCTTTATATGGAGGACCGAAAGTGGCACATTAACTGATGAACGAACGAAATAAATCCATAAAATATTATTAAAAGTGAAAGTTATTTTTTATTTATTTTTTTACATATATTTACATTTGTGTTTTAATTAACTGAGAAATGCAAAAAGAAAATGCTGAAATAAATGAATCTGTGGAAATTAACAGGGAAATATTCACAGTAGCATATAATACACTACAAAGCACAAAGGTACAAAGTAAAAAAACAAAAGAAAAACATAAAAAATGAATACATTTATAAAAACTGAATCGCAAAGTGAGCTCCCTTCTATAGAGCTCACTAAATTGGAGCATGTTGCTCTAATAGGATGCCACAATTACGAGAAGTTTGTGACATTTCTTCCCTCCGTCATCGACTGTGAAATGCTGAGGTTGCTATGTGCTGAGGTGCATAGAAGTCACCCATACTCCGCTACCACACATAAAGAGTTCTTTTCCTCCTTCGGTATTAATATCAATACAAAAACTGTGTCGGGGACTTCATGGCATGGATTTCCATGGTCGAGGAGCTCCTGTAGGTGCGACACATCTGTAATACAGTTATGATTTTGACATCTTTGGTCCTCCATACTTCTGCGGTATTTCTCTGCCCGGTCACTCTAGATTGTTTACTATTCAACTAAGCCCAAATGCAATGTGGATTATTTCAAACCCGGCAGAGCTCACTGCAGCTGAATCCCATCCTCTCATGTCTCAAGTCTCTGTGAACTCCAACCCCGCTCATTGAAACAGACACACACACACACACACACACACATAGATAGAGGCATACCAAAATGTCCTGTTGGCCCAAGGCAGCTGCTGCTAATTTTAGACGGCATGTAACGCCTGCCGTGCCCCAGACCTCCTGCCGCTCAACAAACCACGCCTCCTCTTCCTTTCCAATATGAATTTCCCCCAGGAACACCCCCCACCCCCATAAGTTACCAAAGCTCACAATCCAGACCTACTCTAACCACCTATCAGTTCTCCAGGATCCAGTTGGCTCATTGGAGACCTTTGGCATAAATTCAGGGAAAATATTGGGCAATTTTATGTGGGAAAACAGACTTAACATATATGATATATTATTAATTAGTTTGACCATTTCTGTCTCTTCCATGTCAGCAAAACTAAAGATATGCCTCTAAAATGGTACTTAAGCCTGTGAACACCACTGAAGGGACATGTGTGGTTTAGTAAGAAATGTCTTTTGGTGTTAGCAAATGATTGACCCAGGAACAAACAGTTTCCACTGAGGTAATAATAGTTTTCATAAATATTGTGAAAAAAGAAGACAAAAGAAAGTCACAAATGAAAGCTAAGCCTAAAGTTAAATAGAAAAACAACATGTTTCAGTGAGAATTTGCCAGTTTGGAGGTAAGTGAAATGCACAAACTGAAACAACAAATGCCTGCAGGCGGCCCAGCCCCCCACTTAACTCAACCCATTACCCCAGCCCTCCACTGCAAGCCGTAGTCACAAATCTTAATGCCAAGCTCTAGCTATAGCATCCCCTTCAGCTTCACCCTACCCCAGGCATACTTTTCTCTTTTAGAGATAACTAAGAGAAAATCAGCCACTTTACAGATCTTGGACAAGATCAATTTCTGGTTGAACCCACGAAGTATTATAGATCATAATGGAACATCAGGCTTGCAGTGCTGTGAACCATACTAAAGAGGCAGCAAAAGATCCAAAGGTTATCTTTTTAAATGAAAAATCCAAAATGCTTGTCCTGTAACTATCTCTGTGTTGCTTCTGGTTCAAGCTGATGTCAATGCTTTGCTTGCTGTCTTTCCCGAAAATGCACATTCCCATCATCTCAATCCTCGTGTACCACTTCTTAATTTCCCTCTGACTTGGCCCCGAAAAATTTGTGGGCTTGTGTGCAGTTTGTGTGTGTGCGTTGGAAGGGGGGGCAGCTAAGAGTCCAAAGGGCTGAGGTCATCTATGTAAACATATCACAGACACTACAGAGAAGTCCATGAATGAGCGCAGGCAAAGACTCATAGACTTTTACATATGCTTTGCTGTTCCATGCTTGTGGCTTGTACGCCACATGGGCAACAGTTAATTAGAATGATGAAGCACCCGGTATTCACTGGCTGATCTGGAAACCACATGCAAGCCCTGGTAAAAGCACATGAGTTTACCAAGACACACAAACACACATGCACACACACTCACATCAGCTTTTAGGGGAACCCTGGCCAGGCTGAGCTCCATCTGACTACTATAATTACATAGTAATAATACACCGAGGCCTGGATTTAACAACATGACATCACAACTGTTTCCTAATCTAACCAATTAGTAGCCATGGAAACCACTTGCCACTGGCAGCTGACAGACCCTAATCACTATCAGACTGTGGGAATCTTTGTTTGCATGTGGGATGGACAAATGAGCCACTTAGCTAATTAACTGTTAGATTAAATGCTGGTAATTTTGCTGTTTCTTTGTTTTACTGATCAATTAATGCTCAAAGCAATATTATTATCTGAAGAACAAACCAATCAGTGTTTATTTTCTCTTTAGAAGTCACTAATTTGGTTGTCAGCACATAATAGACAACAGTTGCTGGTGTTAAGTGTCATTAATTCTTTGTCTAAACAGGAAATAAACTGACTGTTTACATGCCAAGAAGACCAAAGTGCTCCTAGAATACCTAAAGGAAGATGTGAATCATCTAATGAATTCAGACATCTTTCACATCCATTAGCGCCATGCGTTATTAATGAATCTCTACCGTAAATTAATTCTTTAATAACAGATGTCTGCTACCTGATTGTGACTTTTTATGCAGTTTAAATGGATGGTAGTGGCCTCAAACTTGAAGTCAGTACCATGTGATAAAGCAATGAAAATGACACTGTGCACGGCTCATACACAGAAAAGACTGTTCCGATTTTCTGAGGAAGCCTTCCATTTGTCTTAAGATCTGCTAAAGTATTGATGAGGATGGACGCTGATGGTGATGACAATGAGTATCAATTATTGATGAAATCATGAGCATGTCAGCTGCAGACCGCAGACGACGAGTGTGTATATATGTGTGCACGACATACTGCTCTGCAAGGGTTTATTCATGCTTATCCAGAGAGCCAGTCAGACAGAAATCACCTCTCTATATCTTTGCAGAAGACAAACAATGCTTGCTAAAATTCCTACCACATGACTAAACACTTGCACTCGAATGAGTCAGAAGAGGTTTTTATAACTTTGTCCAGCTCCTGTATTTACTCTTAACCTCCGCTGCTTGGCTAAGTCTTCGGCTTACAGAGCGCTCAGTACTATTAGTGTAATAGTAGCCCTTCTCTATTTAAGTGGCTGGTTGGGGCTGAAAGCTATTAGCACTATTATTGTCTTTGATATAGTGTATACACACTTAGCTGAAACAAGACAAATGTTCATTTAGATGAGACAAAGAGGCCCAAGTGGTTTAATTGTATTCAGCGGCTGCCCATTACTATATGTCAAAGCTCTTGGCTTTACAGTGGGATCTCCAGTGCTACCTGTTAAACTACAGTATCAGCAAGAGTCAGAATATTCTGCAGTTTTTCATGGCCTCATTCAAGAAACCAAAACTCATTTGTGCTATTTATTAACTGATTTTTCAGCACTTTAGTTTTAAATGTTCAAGGATTATGCAAGAAACAGAGTCTTTTGCTTCTGCTTGTTTGAGCCGTGAGAACTTTCCACTCTCTTTCTAAAAGTCCTGCATTGGTGTAAGTGCATGTTGCCTGGTATGGCTGCCATGTTTAAACATGGCCAAAATAGTTTCTCCATCTGCTGCTGCTGTGCCCCCACCCCAACCACCACACATACACTTGTGTATAAATGCGTGTGTGTGTTCCTGTGCCTCTGAGCGTCTTAAGTGTGCGTGGTATGCTGTGGTTCCTAGCTGGCGCCAAATTTAGTCCCAGGCAGTGAGCCTCGGTATAACTGTTGCTCTAAAGTCCCATCATCCCCGAGCCAAACGCTTCCACAGATGCCTTTCTGATGGTAAAACACAACGGCAACTATCAAAACTTATTCTAGACTACCGAACAACTGGGAAGCTAGTATACCTCAAAACCTGACTAAAAAGCTGATTCTCCTCCAAGTTGTGGAGATGTGGATGTCAATGACAGCTGACAGGAACCACAAGACAAACAAAGCAGTGTTGTAAGACAGACAGCTAGTAGGGGAATACTGCACATTACAACTAGTGCAACAAAAATCGCTTTGTTTTATTTGATTAAAATGGGTGTAGGAGGCTGTGATGTCATGCAGCAGGGCTTCCAACATGTTAAGCATATTCATATGTATCTCCTTGTTGCAAGATTTCTGTCAGAAAAGATCACTAGCAGTGCCCAATTTATTTTTTCTTCATTAAAACTTCACTATAAGGAAACAGTAATGACTACATATCAGAATATGTAGGCAAACGATTATCTGCGCAGACATGTACAGATTCAGTTTGATCATGAAAGCCAACTTCTTTTAAGTTTGATTCTTATGACATTAATTTGCCTAAACATTAGATAAGATAACCTCTAGTCCATGTTTGGGTTTCATCCTTGGATCACTGTGACTTTCCATCTTTGTTTTCATGTCATTTAACTTTATAAGTCAAAGTTCAGTACACTTTGGCTGGAAGCAATGACAGACAGAAAAGTGGGTACCAGTTCTTGCCCCGAGTATGTGTTTCAGTGACACTAAAAAGTAAATGGCAATAATACACTTAGGGGGAATGGCAGGCTATAAGAGCAGAAAGGACTGGAAAACTTTTCTGGAAGCCGGAGGTGTGAGACAGCCATGTGAAATTTTATACTGTGAATGAAAGAAAGCGATAATGCTGAGGTGAAACATTATTTCTGACGGACACCGCAGACCTCACAGACAGAAGGTCAAAGACACGTAGAGAGAGAGAGAGAGAGAGAGAGAGAGAGAAAAGAGCCGAGCAAAGAAAACAGAGTGACTTACCGCCAAGGCCTGCAGCCTCTCTTTGTGGAGTTGAGCCTCCTCACACGACATCCTGAGGGGGAAGCAGGGGAAAGGGGGGTGAGAGGAGAACAAGAGGTGAGATCGGGGAAGAAGGAGAGCTGCAGTCCCTCAGTGAGAGGTAGGAAGAGAGGTGGAAAGTAGAGGAGAGAGAGGGAGACAGGGAGAGGAGGAGGAGTATCCAGATGAAGTCTTTTCTCGGCAATAATCCAACCAGAGAGAGGAGACAACGGGAGAAGAGGCTTGCGCTGAGAGGAAGCAAAGATCTCTCACTCACTGGCCATGTGCCCTCACACTCAGCCCACTGCTTGCATTTGCTGTCTCTCGCTCTCTGTCTATCACCCACTCTTTCTTTTGCGCTCTCTGTCTCTCCTCCCATTTGTCCCCTCCCTCCCTCCCTCCCTCCCTCTCTTCTTTAGGCATGAGCCATGTGTGATTAAACAGCTGGGAGGAGCAGCTGAGAGAAGGATGGTGAAGGAAAGGGAGAGAGAACTAGCAGTATGGAGGTCGAGCTGTGTGAGAAAACAGGGGGGAGAAAAAGGAACGAGGTAGAGAAAAAAACAGTGAAATCAAAATTGCAGAAGTAAGGAAAACAGAAGGAAAAGAGTAATTTGTCAAATTTGAAAGATGAACTCCCCGAAGGCGCTCAAGAATAGACAAGACAAGAAAAAAAAAAGGAAAACTATAGGACTATTTTCCCCCCTTTTTTCAGCAGTTTTCCTTTCTCCTTATCCTAAAGGTGACTTGGATGTAAGCCGTCTTATTATTGAGATCAGTCAACAAAGTGATACCTCCTGCCATAATCACTGATCACTTGTTAGGAGCAGGAGATAAACATACAGATAAGGAAATCACTGTTTAGGGGGATTAAAGCATTAAAACCTTGCCTTTTATTTCAGATTACCTGTAAATAATTTTTCTTTTTACTTTTGACTTTTTGACCAATCTAATTCTATCAAAAACATCTGCACAATGGTGCCATAAAAGCTAATCAGTTTAGTTATTGTGGTTTTTCATTTCCTTTGACTCACGACTTGAGTCAAAGCTTCCTTGGAACACTTGCAGGATGCTCTGGTTACGTCTAAACTCTGAGCTCAGAAAACTGTGTGTTAATCCACTGACAAGTAACAATCCTTACTCATATCCTCAGTCCTTTTCTTTGTCCACTTCTAAGCTCAGGTTCTCTTCCACTTCTCTTAACATATGGTGTACCACAAGGTTCTTTATTAGGGCCTATATTGATTCGGATATTTCTGTTATGTATGTTTAAAACCTCAGTTTTTTTTTCTTGCTTTTATCATTTAAGAAATATGGTCAAGTTGAGTTCCATAGTGTCAAGATCTGAATTAAAATGATTGTAATTCCTTGGAACATTTGCTGAGGAACACTGACTAAGCTTTGTATGTACTCACTCACTGTTACTAATTCAGTTGCAGTGAAGAGTGCCCATGAACTTCAGAGTCCATTTAAAGATTCTGGTTTTGACTTTTATATCTCTGCGTGGATAAACTAATGTATACATGAGTGAATTTATACCTCCATACATTGCCAACATTTCCCTGGTGTCATGTGATCAGAACCTGTTCAGCATACAAGGTTGGAAACTAAAGGAGACATCTATGGATGTGTTATTACTTGAAATAGTCTTATCTTGTAATAGTGGAGTAGGAGATAAAAGTGATCTTGTTGTCACCCTTTATGGACAGCACCCAGGGATATTTGATCCCCAGGGTGCACAGTTCAACAGCAAAAACTGTCCACCGATGGCCAAAGCAGACATTGTTTCCATTTGCTATGGAAATATTGATCTTATTATTTAACTGAACTTGTATTTGTGTCTTTCAGAGTAAGCAATTTAACCTCCTGACACTCAAGCTATGGTTTGGGATCCAGTTTTACTTTGTACTATCTATTTGTGATTAGTTTGACCTGGTTAGTAAATGATCTAAACTTCCTCTTTGAACAGGAAATCGTTACTGCTTTAGAAATTTGTTTAATGTGTCTCTTTAAAAACGTATGCTCTCATCAAGGTCAAGGTCAAGCTAACTTTATTTATACTCAAAGGCAAGGTAAATTTGCTTTACAGAAAAATGACAGCTTTCTCATATGGAGAAAGGTGGTTTATTTTATACCACAACAAAATAAGGTCAGTGTTGCTTCACAAAATATTACACTGCAAAATCTCCAGTGTTAAATTGACACTAGAAAGTGTCTATATGTGTCCACTCTTTTGAGTGTTAAATTAACACTTCTGACAGTGTTATATTTCTAACAGTAAGATAGTCAGTGTTAAAGATTA